AACATTCAAATTTTTCCTTCAACTTTGACAGCAAGCACAGTTCCTGCCTAGAGGTCTTCCATAATCGAGACGATATGCTCTACCATCCCACAGCATTTTGAGATTTTCCACATCGTAGGACAATGTAATGAATGAAATGCAGCCTTACAGTCGAGACAGCTGTAGGAACAGCTTAATGATCCTACGCAGAATGAAAAATCAGCCAGGGCAGAAGTATTGCATCCCGAAGCCTGCTCATCAGAGCAGTTTTCCATCAAACACCTGCCTCATCCTTTACACCATTGTCTAGGAGAAAAATTCCCTGAGAGCTGACAGTAATGTGGTACAACGATCACTGGAATACATTGGCACCAGAACACTTTTGAATATACGGACAATTACTACGCATTTCCATTCTCCTGGGAAACGCTTGCTGGCCTACATTTATTGAAACATGCATAGCATTTACCTCCACACTTAATCATCCCCGGAGGAATTCGATTCATTCCGAGGGCCCTTTTAATCTGTTTAGTATTTTTTCAATTCTATGTCTGTTGGTGGATCTGTACCAATCTCTAATGTTGCATAGTATTAAGGTTCAAAATGACGCATCTGGAGAGCAGCAGTTGACCACCTGCTGGATATACTCAGTCCGTCTTTCGAGACGTTCTTTCTAACCTGCCAATGAGACATTCGTAGCACCTTCGATAAGGACAGACCGAGTCCTCTACTTGCGGGACAACTGTCGCACCCTTTTTAATACTGTTCGTAACACACCATTTCTGGCTGCCTTGTCGATCATCATAATTCCTCCCTCCAGCCCAAGTTCCCTGTCCCTCTGTCCTTGTCCATTTAGTTAACTGCACTAACAAGACAGACAGCAATAAGCTGCCTTCGAATGTACAGAACGTGCTGCAGGAAGTCCTTCTTTGCCTGATTCCTTTGCATTCTAAAGATTGTGAGAACTTCTCTGTAAGCCAAGGCAGTTTGCTAATCTCTACCTCAGCCAAGCCGCGCTTTTCACCAAACAAATGACGGCATCTTTAACTCTTTCCTCGTCGATGTTGCTACTTTCTGGTTGGGCACTTACGGAGGCATCGAAATAATTCTCTACGTCCTTTTGGTCCCCCCCCCGTTGCTATGTAATATTTTGAAATCTTGGCATCGAGCAGCTATTGTGTTTCAACCAGATTGTGCTGACGCTACGACCACATGGTGATCAGGCTTAATGCAGGCGCCACGGCTGACGTGAGTCTCCAGTAACTAGCCGTGGTTGTTTGCGGTTGAGAAAGAAGGGGTACAGATGAGCGTTGAGACGTCCATCGGGGAAGAACGCACAGGTTGCTTGGCATGCGCTTATGAGGAACAACTGTGCCGTCGACAATGAAGCTGTTTTAACGCACGGCACTTTAACAGACGCCTACTCTTGTATTTCACCTGATCAATACCATGATGGCTCACTCATGTTCTGTACTCCGTACCCTCATGTTGAGGTCGCCTGTTACAAGTGCGGCTTCGTGATGGAACAAAGCGCTAACAGCGACTTGCCAGTATTCACAGAAAGCGCCTTTGTGGCTGTCATTCGACACTTTTGCCTCAGCATAGGCGACAGGAATATTGAGCATCGATTGTCTGGCATCCACGCGATAGACCAAAATTCTCTCCAATACGTTTTCCACCAAAACAACCGTTCGGCTTACCGAGGAGACGACTGGATTCACTCTCTGGCACGGCGTAATCTCCTGTGGTCTGACCACCAAGTGATCAAACATCTCGCAGGTGAAGCGTTCCCTTCCCCTAAAGGCGAGCCTCCGTTACCGCCAGTGCATCGAGGAGGTCATTACGTACCAACGAGGGTCATCGCCATAAGGGACTTCATCGAACTTA